TCTGCGTTTTTGTGGTTTGTTTTTGTGTACAAAACTTGCCGCGGTTTCGTTTAGAAGTTGTTAGCCGCCCAGTGGGATCTGCTCGTTTAGCAAAAACAAAAAAATATGCAGATCTCGTTTAGAAAGTCTTCGTTTACAAAGTTTGTGCTTTGGCCTTTTCGGTCGTTTATCGTATGACGCTTTTCTTTTTTTTGCGCGTGTGTGTGTTTTTGCGCGCGTGGCTTCGTTTCGCTTCGTTTAACAGGCCGTGAAATACGAGGTATATGATCACGTGAGTGTGGTCGGTTTAAGTCTTCCATTACGTAATGTGTTATATTAGCGTGTGTTTACTTCACTTGATGGAGAGTATGAGAGACTGGTGAGGTTTAGAGGTGGAGAGGGCCTATGCCTTGTGTTCCCAATACGTTGCGATAAGCACAGGTAGTTGCTTCTCATGAGGTATGGCAGCAATAGCTGAACATAGTCGTTGCGGTGGTGATGGTGATACCCATACATCATACGATGGTGATGGCTCTACCTGGTGTGCCATCCATCACCTGACCCGATGGAATCTTCATACGAGCTGGGAATTGAGCAGAGCACTGGAATCTCTACAGAGTAACGTGTAAGGGTAACAAGTAACAAGTGACTAGCATAACATACAGACACATATGGATATATAAACGCAGCTTGTGAAGAAACAAAGGGTAGTGATGAGAATGGGAAAGATTAGAATAGAACGACAATAGCCATCTTAGTCGAAATCAACCATACGGCACGTTTATACCTTGTCAGTTGGCTCAAACAATAGGATGAACGAGATGGTCTGATACTGAATGGTCCTGAAATGAGGACAATTAGAACGTGATCAGACCTAGAATCACAACTGCGAAGAATGAAGTTGCCAATTTCACAGCAGACCCTTCAAAAGTTTCCACAGTCGGAGAGGTATGAGTAGAGTCTGCCTCAACAACAGAGGTCTTTGAAGTGACTTCTTTTTGATCTGTGTCGTGCTCTGGGGAAACACCACCTTGAGTAATATCAGGGGCTCCCACGGTTTCAGTTGGAGTCTGAGGAGTTGGTGTCACAGTCTTAGACTTAACAACTGTTGTGGAGACTGGAACTTCAACACAAATATCATCAGAACAAGATGTTACTGTTACAACAGTTGTGACTGTACTCTTTTTAGTTGTGCCATCATCTTTACCTTTAGTGATTGTCTTAGCAGACTCTGTACAACGTGTTTCATCGCATGAAGTAACAGTAACAACAGTTGTACTTAGTTGCTTTTCAGTTCTGGTCTCATCATCCTGAGCAATGGTTCCAACATCTTGAGTAACAGTCTCAACAATCTCGACACAGGTGGTTT